AGAAATAATTTTGCAAATGATAGAAATGCAGTTTAGCTTATAGTGGATAATAACATAAAAAACTTAGGACAACAGGGTTTGACATCAGATGGCCTGGGTTTTAATCCCAAATTTTGTTTGAGCAAATTATTTGACTAATACATGTCTCAGTTTAATCATCTTTATGATGGAGATGGTTATAGTACTCATGAAATAATTTTGAGGATTAAATGACATAATGTATCTACAGCCTTAGCACAGATCCTAACACATAGTTAATGCTCAGTAAATGTAGCTCTTATTATTTTTACCCATTAAAGATATGTATTATAGTCCTGATAAGAGCACTGAGCTATCTTTAAACCCAGAGCACCTACACCTTGAAGTTATCTTATATTGTAGGCTTCATTTCCTATGAGTTCTACACCTAGGATCTAGCAAAGCAGGGCAAAATGGAAATAAATTTGGCTGCTAAGAGTTTCTGATCATAGCACTTACCATGATTGAGGAGGAAGAGTGTGAGAACATTGTATAGAACGGGTATACACAAGTGGAATATTAGTAGGTAGGGATTGCCTAGAAGAGTGTTTCTCAATATTTTTGCATTATAATGTCCCTCCCTAATAAGCCATTTTGAAGACATTTTTTGCCATTGCTCCTCCATAATATTTTAATATTTCAGATATACCATCTATCTAGTTATCTACACATATAGTATCTGTGCTATATACATTAAAAAGGTAAGAATTTTTTTCACTCCTGCCAAGACCTGCTTTAACGCCTGCCCTCCCCATTGAAAATGCATTGCCTAATAGGCTATGTGACATAAAAAAAAAAACCCCAAAAACCCCTAAGATTCATTTTGTTAAATAACCAACAGTTTTGTTCACTGGTTTTTGCAGAGCAATGTCTCAAAGTGAGAACAAGGAACATGTATAAGATGAATCTACTAGGCAGTGCTCATTGCTGTCTTTATAACAAAATTAATTAAATAATTTGCTCTATAATTGTTGTTTAATATCTTTCCTACTTAGTTGCAAACTCTGTAGTGGCAGGAACATGTCTTGCTCACTGTTGAATGGATTCTGACATAAAGTAGGCAATCAATATTTATCAAATATTAATAAGAACTTTAATGTCTAATAGGGAAAAGAGGGTAAAACATGTAGAAACAAATACATTCCTGAGCTTGTGTTGTGTATGAGGAGCAGCAAGATGCATGAAGAATCAAGACAGCCAAGGTCATTTGCCTCTACTCAGCAGGGATTTAGTCCTTCTTCTGAGAAGCTTTCTAGATCCAGGCTTGAGGATGGAACTTTATCTTGTTCATTGTTAAATGCTATGGAAGACTTAACATAATGCCTTCTAAATGGTGGCTGAATATTGTCTGAATTATAACTTAAGATAGAAAGCAAGTCTTAAGAAGAAAGAGAAAGACAAGTCTGATTATTCTCTTTTCTTCATTTATTTAAAGATACACTTAGAATTATCTATATTTAGATCTTTAAGAGAAAGTTTTCCAAAGGAGCCATTTTATATTTGAAGAAAAAGTATTTTTGACATTAATGTTTTCTCCAATTTAATGCTAGGTTTCTATCTTTCTTTTCTCCCTTCAGTTATCTAAAACATTACAATACGTTGCTCCTCTCTATTTTATAAAAAGGACTCTACCAACCCAATTATAACTCTCTTAGAAGGTAAAAGAACTGCAGGGGGATAAAAAACAAGAATGATTTGGATATATCAGTTCTCTTTTTTGTTACATTTTTGTGGCTGCCATGGGAGGACTATAAAAGCTTCAAGGCTGATTTTGGTGGATAAATTCCCAACAACCTCTCCCTTCAAGGAGTGATCAGTATTATGGACAAAAGGGGAGTATTTCTTCAATACGTCCATTTGATTTTATTTTGCGCGGCAACCACCTTTGTAAACCACACTAACATGTCAGGGATATGAAACTGTCTTCAGTTCACTGCCCTGTAAAAGATGTGTGGCAAAAAATAAAGAATAAATAAATAAATAAAGCAAGGAATGCCTGAGTAAGTAATTTTATTTTTTATGATTCAAGCCCCAAAAGGTCTTGAACTGTCAGATTTATTGTCTATCCGATTTTATGACTTTTAGTTGTATTTATTCTTTGATGTTTACCATCAACTGAGCCTACATGTGCTGTGGTCTGTGGGCTTTCCTATTGCTAAATCATTTTTTAAGCTTTAGTTGTAGCTTCTATTTAGCATCAATCCCCCGAGACACGCCATTAACATGAATCATTTTTGAAAGTGTTTGGTGCAATATGAACTCCTTGTTGAGTCGATCACTCATTGCGATGGAAAAAAAAATGATGACCTTCCCAGAAATACCCATCATGGTTAAATAACCAAGGACGGGACACAGCGGTCAGGGAATTCTGATTGGGGTGGCCCCGTCGGCTTAATCTTTGCCCCCAAAGAGGGAGCCTGGAGGTCAATGCAGCTTCAGGAGGGAAAAAGAAAAAGAGGGGGTAAAGGGGAAAAAAAAAGCTGACCCAAACCATAGCTATTTTATTAGAGCGTCAGTTTTTTCCTACCCCCAAGAACGTTATTTCCACAGTAGGAACTTTCGAGGCTATATCAGTATTTCAACATATTATTCTCTAACACTTTTTTAAAAACTTCCAAACAATTTATTTTTCAAGACAAGTTACATGGTTACCTTCTTTGGTTTCTCTTCTCTGTTATGGCCTCCCCTAACCTCTGGTTTTTCTTCTCAGTTTAAACTCCATATTCAGCTGCTCAGTTTAAAGAGACCTGTGATTTCATGGCTGACTAAAATGTTTCTGAAGGAATTGAGTATAATTACTACCAGTAATACAGTTTTTTTTCTTGGCTCATACCCAGCGTCTAGACATTTTCAAGTTCTAGGCCGCGGTAGCCAACTCTGCATAGACTGGGTTATTAACAGGGTATAGATTATTCTGGAAGGTTACCATCCTTTTCTCTGCCTGTGTTTGGCTAAGGTTGGCTTCCAAATCCTCCCTACTCCTGGTTTCTCAGCACCTTCCTGATAAATAAATACAAATACATAATAGACTATGATTAAGGGACAACATAGAGGTGTATTTTAAAGATGGGCTCAGAAAACTGCAGCCTGCAGGCCAGATATAGTCTACTGACTTTTTGTAAAACAAAATCAGGTACACCCATTAATTTATGTATTGCTACAGCTGTTTTCACAGTATGGCAACAGTTGAATAGTTGCAACAGAGTTTTTATGGCTCTCAAAAACTAAAACATTTACTATCTGGCCCTTTACAAAAAAAAAGTTTGCTGATCCCTTTTCTAAATAATAGGTATTCAGACATAAGTGTACTAAATAAACAATATTAATGGTTTTATTCACTGGGGTCTTCTCAAACTTGCAGGCTACATTTTAGAGTAAAATACAAGCAGATTTTAAGAGAAAACTGAAGAAAACTTACAATCTTACTTTGATAATTTGGCTCTATGCTTTCAGGCATCCTTTTAGCTGTTCTTTTATTCACTTTAAATAGATTTTCCCCAGCTTGTAAAATAAACAATTTTTTCATAAATATATATTTTAAACATTTTTTATCTAATTATTCCTGTATAAACCCATAACATTTAATATAATTTAATTATAATTTGCCAATTTGTCAAGGGAAATATAGTTTTTATTGTAATCTGCTTTTTTGATGAGCTGTGAAGTTAAACATTTTCTCCTATATCCCTTGGTTGCCTGTGTTTATTCTTTGCAAATTCTCTGTTCTCATCCTTCACCATTTACATTTCAAAATAAGGTTTTGCTAAAATTCTAGACTAAATTGATCAGACCTGTATTTGTGTTATTCTAGTAGGAATATTCCAACCAGAATTTATGCTACCAGTTCAGCTTCTCATATAAGAGGACAAGCAGAATGCCCTGAGAATATAATATAGTATCTTCTATGGGTTTTATGACTTTAAGTTATAATGAAGCACCTATGACAGCAGAAATTACAAAACAAAGAATAAGTTAATACTTGTAGGAAAGGAAAAACTTATATTAAAGATTAGGAGTTTTCATTCTAAAGTAATGGCAAATGTTGCTAATTCACTGAAATTATAACAAATCATATCACCTCTTAACCAAACGGGGAATTTGAAGCAGCTTACAGTATTTCCTATGGTTTTTAAGCTTATTTTTCTTCTTTTTTCTTAAGCTCAAACATCCTTTAGAGTTCATGTGATTTGTATTTGGCCCAATGCAGTATAATTGAATAAGATACTTACTTCCAGATGATCGATGCTTATGATTGAGAAGAAAGTGCTTTCTTTAAATTGTAACTGACTTATAAAGATGAATGGCTTGTTAGTGTAAGTACCTTTATTTCTAGTTAATTTTAAAAAGAGACTGAGATTAAGATATCTAATAATTCTAGAATATTTGCCTGATGACTGCAGAGGGGGCTAGGGGGAGAATAGAAGGAGGGATGGACCATTTGTATAAACACACCACGCACACACACACACACTCTCTCTCTCTCTCTACAGAGAATGCACTACTCCAAGGGAAAATGAATACAGATACTCTACTGATATAATGGTGATTTCAGTTTTTAATAACAAAAAATAAAGCTGATGGACAAAGGCAAAACTGATTTTCTTTGCTAGGGAAAATAATTATAGTTTTATGGAAGTCAGAGGGAGAATTATTCTATGTTGACTTATGTCAGAGAACAGGGATATAATTTACAAAGTAAAATGTATTTGGAAGTTAATTTCCAATAATGAATATCATTCATTGTTTTTCTTCCCTGTATATGTGCCTTACTTTTCCCCTTGAATCTAGGCTGCCTTAGTGATGTGCATGATCAGTTGGAATAGGTCAGAGCAAGATTCTGGGATATCCCAGGCTACATCATAATAAGCCTGTTACCTTCCCCCCGGGTGCCTTGAAAGCTGGCCCTTGGAATGCTTCCTGTAAGAACCCAGCCACAGTTCTGTGAGAAACCCAAGCCTCATAGAGACGCTATAGAAGTAGGCTCCGTGGTTGACATTCCCAGCCAACAGCCCACATCACTGTGAGAGAGCCATCGTGGATGTCCTGGCTAGTTGAGCCCTACACTCCTGTTCAACCTCCATCTGATTGCAATTTCATGGGCGACCCAAAGTGAGAGCCTCCTAGCTGAAACAAGTCAACCTATAGAATTGTGATACTTAATAATAAGCTGTTATTTTAAGCCACTATATGTTGGGGAGGTTTCTAAAGCAGCAGAAGGTAACTGATATAGTATAAGCTATTTTTAAAAAGCCATCAAGGTAATGCTTCTATCCAAAATGTATTAATAGGATGAGTAGGTTTAACATATCTAACATTGAAATGGTTTTGCTCTTCCATCCCTCTCCCTGTCAAACGTAAAACACCTCTCAAACCCAAGGAGCATCCTCCTAACTCTCAATCAGGGAGGTGGGGCGTAAACTGGGACTAGAGCCTGGATTTAAGTCCCTCACCAGGGGTGTATTACTAGTTGAGTTACCAGATAATAAATGGAATATAAGTTCACACAGGCGATTAGTGAGACACTTATGGAACACAACCTCTATAAAAGTAATAAATTGAACAAGGCATAAAAACAAAAGATAAAACAAGTAACAGAGCAATTATTATGATTTTAAACAAACATATTTAATCTAAAAAAAAAAAAAGAGAGGCTATTTGAAACACGAAAAAAAATTAGCCAGTAGAAAACATTGAAATGATGACCTCAAAATATAGGGTAAATAACTAAAGAGATACAGTCAAAGTTTTATCAAACTGAAAGATCAGGTCAAAAACTTCTCAAAGAAAAGTAAAAAAGAGAAATAAAATGTCAAATTGATTATAATAGAGATCCCAGAAATAGAGAAAAGAAATAAAGAGGGGAGAAATACATGGGGAAAAAGTATTGATTTTCCAAAAAGTAAAGAAAGATACTGGGCAGAAATTAACAGAAACCACAGGTACAATTTTAAAAAGTGATGAGATATATTGTTACTACTAAAAAACAAGAGAGAGAGAGAAAAATAGCAAGAAAGCACAATATATACAAGGAACAAGTATCAGATTAATATCAGAGTTCTCTGTGGTACTACTGGATGAAAGAAAGATAATAAAATTAAATTACCAGAAAAACAAAGGAGGAATAGTTTAGCTTAAGTGTTCATATTCATATGATTTATCATTTAAATGCAAAGTGAAAATAAAGAGATGTTCATCTGTAAAATGCCTCATAGGGTTTTCAACACAAAAACCTCCATTGAAATACTCTTAGAGTATTTTTTCTAGAAAGTAGAGAAAAAGATTCATACAGATACTATAAAATACATGGGTAGTAAGAATAAGAAAATAGGTCAGTAAGGTTTACTGTTTTCTAAAAAAGGAAGCAACCAACCAAATATATATTCAAAACAATGTAGAATAAATTTCTAGATCATCACTGTCCAGAAGAAAGTTTCTGAGATGATGGAAATGTACTATATTATCTGTGCCACATGCAGCTATTAAACACTTGAAAGCAAACTGCATTTTACTTTATTTAATGTTAATCTAAATATGATATTAAATAGCCACATGTGGCTAGTGACTACCATATGAGTGCAGGTCTAGATGACTTCAGCATGGTGAGGTTGTGCTGGACAGAGGTCATGGGTATGAGGGACCAGAGGGAGCTAAGTGCACACAAATGTACTTGTCTGGGCTAGAGGATAAACTAGATTCTGAGAAGATTAAGACATTGATAAGAAAAATGAAGTTGATAGTTAGGGATAACCAGATGGAGATTAAAAACAGAATGTATAAGTTTCAAACAGATATAAATTCAAACAACATATCCAAAAGATAAAATAGAAGATGAAAAAACAAGAAAGTAAAGCATAGTGAATATAAGGTTTAACCCCCCATTTAAAGGGAGAAAGTTTCAGACTACATTTAAAAAAATCCACCAATATGTTGTCTATAAGAGGCATATTTAAAACAACAATATTCAGAAGTTCAAAAATAAACTGATAGAGAATGCTGTATAGATAAATAAAAATCTAAAGAAAACTGGCATATTCATTTTAATGCCAGGTAATATAAAATTTAAGGTTAAAATCATATATATATATACATATATATATATCAGAGGGTTTTTATAGTAGAAGGAAAAACAATAGATTGAGAAGTTATAATAACCATCATAAATATATATACAGCAGCACAATGGCCTTAAAATGCAAAAGGCAACAAATGCACTTCATTAATGACTATATCTAGCACCAAGATCTTGGTTTCTAATGCCATTCTCCAATCAAAGGAAGCAAGACCCTTGTAGAAATATATTATTCTAGGACTAGGGCAGGAAATACATATGATGAGCCCAGAACATCTTATAGTGCCAGAAAGTAAGGAAGTGATTTAAAAAACCCAAAACTCAGAGAAACAAAAGCCACCAGCCACATCGATGTGGATGTATCTAAGGGACACAGGAGCCAAAAATCTCCCAATGGCAAAGCTGGAGTGATGGATCAATTCACACAACAAAGTAAATAAGGCAATACTGCATTATTACCCAAGTATAAGTGCATGGTGATATAAATAAATGATTGAATAAATTAATAAGTGGGGGAGAATAAACAAATCTTCCACACAGAACAATTCCAAATAACTTCCGTAAATATTCTGCCTTAAAGGAGGGAGAGCAAACCTCCCCACTGTTTCAGTGTGGCCTGCATGTCCTGACAGCCTTCCAAAGAGTACAGGAGAGAAAGCGGGTAAATGAGTAGCTCTGCCATGGAGAAACTTAACAAACACTACCTCAGCCAGGAGATCAAGGTGGATATCAACAGTCATAAATCATGTTGGTATGTGGGATGAAAATGTCACTTTAGGCTGTGACATTTCCTCCTAAAAACCTATAACCCCTGATTAATGAGGCAAATTCCAATGGAGGGACATCCTACAATATACCTGACCAGTTTACTCCTCAGAACCGTCAAGGTCATCAAAAACAAGGCAAGTCTGATGAACCATCACAGTCTAGAGGGACCTAAGGAGACACGGTGAATAAATGTAATGTGGTGTCTTGGGTAGGATCCTGGAACAGAAAAAAGAGTTTAGGTTAAACTAAGGAAATCTGAATAAACTTTTTAGTTAGGAATAATGTATCAATATTGATCCATTAATTGTAACATATCAACCATCCTAATGTACCATGTTACATTAGTTGATAAGGGAACCTGCATGTAGGGATACATAGTAGCTCTCTGTGCTATCTTCTCAATTTTTTTTTTTTTGTAAGTCTACAGCTGTTCTAAAACATTAAGTCTATTAGAGAAAACAACAAATGACAGGATTACTGGGAGAAACAACAGAAGTCAAAAATTTACTCCACAAATTTTTAACACATTCAAGGAATTGATGGATCAAGTAGATATATATTACTCAACACACGCGTATACGATAAAGAGAGAATGTACATTCTTTGGGAGCATACACTGGATATTCATCAGGATGTAGCCATGTTTGGGGCCATAAAGGATCAATCTCTAAATGCTGACAAAACATTGGGATTCCCCTTCAAACCACCTTCTCCTTTTGTATATCCTCTTCTCCTGTGACTTCATCCAGTTCTTATCTTTAAATACCAGCCCTGTGCTGATACTATGCAACCTGGGTCTTACCCCTGAACTCCAGATTTGTATATCTGTGATCTATTTAATATCCGTGCTTATTTTTCTAATACACAGCTTGAAGTTGGCATGTCCCAAACCAAACATCTACTTTTCCATCACAAGCCTGTATATGGTCACATCATCCTTCCAGTTGCCCAAGCGAAAACCAAAACAAGATAAAACATACATACAGAGAAAACCTCTTTACTTACACACATATCTTAACCACCAGCAACACTGTTGGCCCCAACTACATATTATCCATGGTGAACTGGGCTTGGACAACTATAGTGGATTGTGTTTATAACATTGCCCATCTACAGGACAAAATTATTTTCAGAATAATCATGAAGTACAATGAATAATAATAATGGCTAGAAAGGAAATACAGACAGTGATTTTTTTCTTTCATTCATATATAAAACTATACCAGAAAAAAATAAATATTACTAGTAAAAAAATAAAGAATAAAATAAAAGTTATAGTACAAAAAGGAAAAAAAGTAATGGATTAAAACTACTTGATTATGCTATATTTTAAAAGAAGAATGTTTAGATGTATTTTTTATTTACTTATTTTTTATTGATACACAATATTTGTACATATTTATATTTACATGTATAGACTATTTAAATATCCAGTCAGGGTATTTTTGGTATCCATAGCCTTGAGTATTTATCATTTCTATGTGTTGGAAACTGATTATACTATTTTTTTTTATTAAAAATACAAAGAACTTATACCTGTATATTTCTTTTTTGCATTTATGAAGTTTTTGAAAGTCAGTTCTGCAAACTTGCTGAGTACTTCCTTCCTGTATTAATATTTATGCTTAATAGAGTAGAGCCAGATTTGACAATCTTCCTTCATAGTTGATCAAAGAACACATTTTGTAAATTTTAGTTACATGAATTAATAAATATACAAGTCTTAAAGATAAAAGTCCCATTTCACAATAAAACTCAGAAATCTTAAACACAAATGAAAACTCAAAATGGTCACATTGAATGACAGAATTGAGGTAGTTCAAGTTCTGTGTCTTCATCTTTATAATCACTGTGCTGTAGTTTATTCTGAATTTGCTGTTTCACTGCAGAGATAGTTAGTACCACCCAGCTGTGTTCCTGAAGTGAGCACCAGTGATTCCCAAACACCCTACAAACATTCTTTCAAAATCAGTGCAGGTGGCTGAGTCCATGTGTGTCAAAGGCCAACTGTAACTGGGGCTTCTCTGAAATAACTTCCATGTGGCATACAGTGTTTATTAAAAGATAAGAAATAAAAAATGTTAAATTTTTGCTCACATGTATATTATTAAAACTCAGTAGAAACTACATCAATTGTTTAGAATTTAGACTAATAAAAGATTGTCTTCTCAGAGGAGTATTTTATCACCAGCATTGTTTAAAATTGCAGGTTCATATAGACAATAAAAAGACTGATTTTTTAGTCATTTTTAATTCTCTACAAACAATTCTCTATATTATTGCCTGTGCCTATAGTAGGTGCTTCTACTGCACCACTTTTGGGGTATTAGTGCAAATTATATCTAAATCCAACTTTTTTCCACTTCGGCTGCTACCAACTTGGTTTAGGAAACCATCATTTCTCGCCTGCATTATTGCAATTGCCTCACAACTTTAGAAGTGAAGTTGTTGCTTCAGCCTTTTCCATTCCCCCATCTATTCTTAATATAGAGGGAGTGATCTTTGAAATGGCAGATAGATCAGTCACTCCTCTCTTCAAAAACTTCAAATGACATCTCATCTGTCTAATCCAGAGTAAAATCCAATGAAAAGACAAGTCATAAACTAGGAGAAAATATTTGCTAATTACATAGCAGGTAAAGAACTTGTTTCCAGAATACATGAAGAATTCTTAGACTTCAATCACTTCATTTACAAGAAAGCAATCCAGTAAAAAAGCAATCCAGTAAAAAATGCTTCAACACACAGTTTACAGAAGGATATATACAGTTGGCAAATAAGTGCAGAAAAAGATGCTCAACATCGTTAGTTATTAAAGAAATGTGAGTTAAAACTGTAATGTGATACCACTTGGCTACCATGAGAATCTGAGTGGCAGGGAAGAGAAACCGGAACTCTCCTACAATGCTGGTAGGGATATAAACTGGAACAACCACATTGGAAAATAGCTTGGCAGTTTCTTAAAAAGTTAAACATATACCTGCCATATGACTCAGGCATTCTACTCCTAGGTGTTTATCCAAGAAAAACAAAAAACATATGTGTACATAATGACTTGTAGGTGAATATTCACAGGAGCTTTATTTGTATTTAGTAATAGCCCCAAACTGAAAGCAGCTCAAATGTCTACCAAGAAGTGAATGCATAAACAAATCATAGTTTATCCATGCAATGGAAGACTACTCAACAATAAAAAGGAATGAATTATTGAAACACATAACAATATGGATGAATCTCAAAATAATTATGCTGAGTGAAAAAAAGCCAGGCCAAAAAGAGAACATATTGTATGATTCCATTTGCATAAAATTCTAGAAACTGAAAACTAATCCGTAGTGACAGAAAGCTGATCACATTTTGTGCTTGCCTAGGGATGGGGGGAGGACCTCTCATGCAGATGGTCTTCTTTCCCATGGGGTCACAGCTCCCGTGACAGCCACTGACACTTCTGCTGATGCCATAACTGCCTCCAATCTGGACCCAACTGACCCTTGGTGCCCAAAGCACTCCAAACTACCCCAAGCAAACTGCTATATGTTCACCATGAACATAGCCCTGAGTCCACACTTGTGTGGGCTGCTATTGCACCACAGCTGAATGACTCTGCTCCCATTGGGTGTATCTCACTCACAAGTGTGCTCCATTGTACTGATCGTACTTATGAGACACACATTCAAAGATAAAATTATTAAGAATTTCAAGATGGTGATAGGAGAGCATTCAATCAAGCCTTCAGTTCTTCTCTCAATGGCAGAAGTTTGCACACCTTGGATCTTGGGATATGGGGAACATGGACTCATCATACACCCTTGTGACAGAATCAATCAGTGCACACACCCTGGAAAGGACCTGGCATTGTTTAGTCAAGCACAAAAATTCCACAACCCAGCCATTCTACTCTGCATATGTAACCCAGAAAACATCTTCTCTGGGCCCATAAGAGAACATATATGAGAATTTTTACTAAGATATTGCTTGTAGTTAGTAGAGAACAAGAAGAAAGTGAGGCATCCACAAGGAAGGAAGGAAGGAAGGAAGAAGGAAGAAGGAAGGAAGGAAGGAAGAAGGAAGAGGAAGGAAGGAAGGAAGGAATAATGGTAGAGGTGTACTATGGAACAATTAGAAGCAATGAACTAGTTCAGTGGTTCTTACTCTGGCTGTTCACCTGAGAAACTTTTTAAAATTCTTAATGTATAAGTCCCTGTGCCTGAATTAGTTGATTTACTGTGAGGATTGGTATTATTTAAAAGGTCCCTGAGTGATTTCAGAGTTGAAAATCATTGAACAAGAAGGATATACAGCAATGTGCAAACATATTTTAGAAATTAAAATGCATCTTATATATTTTGCATTTTTTAAATGCAACAAATAGGGCATATGTAAATTACAGACACATACACACACACATATATACACACACAAAAAATATATTTTCCTAGGAAACATATAGCCAAAGACATTTATTACATAGGGAAGAGAGGTTGTCAGAGAGGAGTGGGGAATTATAGGAGGTACTGAGTATCAAAAGAGTGAGTAAATGAGAAAGTGGATTTATCCAAATTATTGATGATGGAGCTTAATTCTCTGAACCTGGGTATCAAATAACAATAGTTACTAAGAACTAGCAGTGTTCTAGCCATTCTTTTTTCCTAAGTCCTTTAATTGTATTATTTCATTTAATTTTCACAATGATTCTGTGAGGTAGATATTGTCATTAGCTCCATTTTGCAAGTAGAGGAAATCAAAGGCCGGGGGAGTCAAATGGTTCATGGAAGATCACACGGCTAAGTGGCAGAGCTCTGCTTGATCCCAGACAGAGGGCGCTAGAACTCTGCTCTTAATCACTGTGATCTGCTGCTTCTAATAAAGACTGGGGAAAATAGAGGAAAGGGATGGGGAGACTAGAGACAGACATTACATAGAGAAAGCAGGGAAGAAGGAGAGAGACTAGGGGACAGCCAGAGCCTGGGGTTCTTACACAATAGCTATTTAAAGCAGTTATTAATCCTAACTTGTAAATGATTGGCACTAGTCATAGATAATCATTAAAAACAGCATTTCTCAATAGTCGCCCTTTATTTACTATCACAAAGAGAAAGTCTTGGGAAAACAAAGATGAAGTTAACAATTCAAACGTAAAATTTTAAAAATACATCAAGACAAAATAAAAATTATGAGAAAATGGCAATGAGTATAAAATTATGGCTTAGAAAGACTTAAATATCTAAGACTTTATAAAGGATAAAAGAAGCAGGAAATAGACTCCTTTAAAAAGAATGCCACAGAGATGATGTGCCTTTCTCAGTGCATCACATAAAGAAATATCAGTATGTTTTATGATCTGTTCAAATTGTTCCAGCCTTTACTTCTTCCTGGCTGTCTCCTGTGCCCTTTCTACTGGCCCTGTCCTTTTATGAGCACTTTCTTATGCTGGCACCACATGATGCAACAAGCCCAGCTAGTGTTTTCTGAGCCCTAGACTTGGAATCACATATTTAATGTGTCCTGGGTCCTTTCATCTAGAAACCAACCTCTCGGAGCTGAGTATGTTCATTACTACTGGATTATAGCTACTTCTTGGTTCTCTCAGTGGACAGAACTAGAAACTATATGCATGTATGTGTTAGTATACTAATCCATGCAGACACACATCCATAATAATTTCAGTACTTATCTGCAGATACAAAAATAATGATAAGCAAAAATGAATGTTGATATCACCTATTCCAATCCAACACCACAGGTTTTGTTTTAGATTTTCCCTGTTCTTAACTTCTTTCTCCAACAATGAGAAACCTACAGTGTATTCAGCTATTTGTTTAGCTCTGATATAATCATAAAGTAATTTCAGAATTTTTAACCTATATCCCTATCAGAAACAAAATACCTACAATCCAGAGTACACTAATTGTGTATAGTGTATTTCTTTCTGCATTCAACATTACATCATCTAGTCAAGCTTTTTTCACTTAGCAAAATGCATTGAAGATCCATCCAGGTTGTTGCATGTATCAGTAATTCATTACCTTTTATTGCTGGGAAGTATTTTATTATATTGATGTACCATTCTGTTTATCCATTAGTTGAAGGACATCTGAGTTTTTTCTACTTTATGGAAACTATGAATAAAGTTGCTATGAACATTCATACATAAGTTTTTATGTGAATGAAAATTTTTATTTCCTTAGAGAAAATACCTAGAAGTGAGTTTGCTGGACCATGACTATGTGGTAAGTACATGTTTAAGTTTTTAAGAAACTACCAAACTGTTTTTCTAAATGGCTGTACCATTTTGCTTTCCCACCAGCAGTCTGTCAGAGTTCCAGTTGCTCTGCACACTCTCCAGCAGTTGGTATTACTGTTTTTTAAAAATTCCAGGTATTAAATATATATATATATTATGATTTTAATTTGCAATTCTCTAATAATTAATGATATTTAGCATCTTTTCATGAGCTCATGTGCCATTCATATGTCCTCTTCGTTAAAGTGTGCTCAAATCTTTGTTCTTTAAATGAGTGGTTTAATTTCTTATTATTGAGTTTTGAGCATTTTAAAAACTATTATTATGGATACAAGTTATTTGTCAGATACATAGTTTGGTTTGCAAATACTTCTTCCTTGGCCATAGCTTGTCTCTTGTCTCTGCTAGCACAATTTTGCTAGTACAATGTTTTTAATTAAAAACAAATACAATGTATCTTTTAAAAATTTTTAACTCTTTTGGCACTGTATCTAAGGAACTTTTTGCCTATCTCAATATCACAACTATTTTTTATGTCTTCTTTGAGACATTTTTATAATTACTTATTTTATATTTAGACCTATAATGTACTTTAAGTTAATGTTTGATAAGGTATGAAGTATGGGTAGAGGCTTATTTATTTGTATATGTATATCCAATTGTTGTGGTAATGCTTTTTGAAAAGATCATTTTCTTTCCACTGAGTTATCCTTTATACCTTTGTAAAAAAATGAGTTGACTATATTTGTGAATCTATTTCAGGGCTCTCTATTCTATTATGTTGATCTTGTATTTATCACTGCCTATACTAAACTGTGTTGATTAATACAGATTTACAGTAAATCTTGAAGTCAGATAATGTGAGTCCTCCAAATTTGTTCTTCTTTTAGAGAATTGTCTTGGCTTTTCTTCCTTTGCCACGTTTCCACAAAAAGTTTAGAATTGGGTTTTCAATATGTACAAAAAAAATCTGTTTGGTTTAGATTGGAATTATGTTGAATCTATAGATCAATTTGGGTAGAATTGACATTTTAACAATATGGTAGGTATAAATCCAAAAACATATGCAGGATAGGTAAGCTGAGAACAACAAAACACTGATGAAATAAAGACTAAAATACATGAAGAGATATGTCTGTGGATTAGAAGATCCTCTTATTTCTTTTTCTTGCTTTGCTACACTGGCTAGGTCTTCTACTAAGATGCTGAATAAGAGTAGAAAAAGAGAATATCCATGTCTTTTTACTGATCTTAAGGAGAAAGCATTTGGTTTTTCACTGAATATTAGCTGCAGGTTTTGTGTAGATGCCTTTCATCAGGGTAATGAAATTTCTTTCTATTTCACATATGCTGAAAATTTTTATCCTGAATTAATGTTGAAATTTATAAAATGCTGTTTTTGTATCTATTGAGATAATCATTTTAATTTTCTTCTTTACTTGGTTAATATGGTAAATTATATTAATTGGTTTTTTAATATGGAGGCAGCTTTACATTATTGGGATAAATTCCTGTGTTCATCATACATTATCCTTTCTATATATTGTTGGGTTTGACTAGCTAATACTTGTATACTTGTATCTTTGTTCATGAGGAATATGTTCATTAGTTTTCTCCTTTTGTAATGACTTGGTCTAGTTTTAATATTAGGATAATGCTGATCTTCTAAGACAAATATGAAAGTGATCCTTCTTTGGCTATTTTCTGGAAGAGATTTTGTAGAGTTGGTGTCATTTCTTCCTTAAAGGTTTGGTAGAATTTGCCTGTGAAATCATATAACCTAAGTTTTCTTTGTTGGAGGGTTCCAAACTGTGAATTTATTTATTTTAATAGATATGGATTATTATAGTGATTTAGATATTTCTTGAGCAAGTATTGGCACTTTGTGTCTTTTAAGAAATTAGTTCATTTCATCAAAGTCTTTGAATTTATGAGCATAGAATTGTTTATAATACCCTTCTATTATCCTTTTTAATAACTATGTGGGATCTCTATGTCTCTCCCATCTATCATCTCTGATATTAATAATTTGTTTCATCTCTCTCTGTTTATTGGGTAGTCTGGGAAGAGGTTTCTTCATGTTATTAATTTTATTTAAAAGAACCAGCTTTTAATTTCACTGATTTTCTTTATTGTTTTTCTATCTTCAATTTCACTGATTTTTGCTCTTATCCTTTTGATTTCCTTCCTTTTGCTTGCTTTGATTTTAATTTGATCTTTTTCTAGTCTCTTGAAGAGGAAGTGTAGATTGTCTATTTATGACTTCTTCTTTTTAACGTAAGTATTTTAGGCTATAATTTCCCTCTGTGCATTACTTAGCTTATTGTAACAAAATTTTATATGTTGAATTTTAATTTTCATTGAGTTAAAAATATTTTCAATTTTCCTTGAAATTTTCAATTTTCCTCTTTGACCTGTTGGCTATTTGGAACTATCTTTGTTAAATTTACCAATATTCATGAATTTTCCAGGTAGTTTTCCACTATTGATTCCTCACTTAGTTCCATTATTGTATAAGAACTAAATTTTATATAATTTCTATTCTTTTCAATTTGTTATGGCTAGTTTATAACAGAATATGGTTCATCTTGATGAATGTCCCATGTACACTTGAAGAGTATGCATTCTGCTGTTGGTGGCTGGAGTGTTCTATAAATATCAATTAGATCAAGTTGGTTGATAGTGTTATTTAGCTCTATTTTATCCTTATTGAATTTCTGTCTACTTGTTTCATCATTTATTAAGAGGAGAGTATTACAGTATCTAAGTATTATTATAAGTTTATGTATTTCAGTTTTTGCTTCATACACTTTGAAACTCTGTTAGGTGTATACACATGTAAAATTGTTGTTTCACAGATAATTGGCCTTTTAATCATTCTGTGATGTTTATTCCTGATAATACTTCTTGTTCTGAAGTCTACTTTGATATTAATGTAGCCACTCCATCTTTCTTTTGGTTAGTGTTTGCATGGTATATTTTTTCCCATCCTTTTATGTTTTACCTATATATATCTTTATACTTAAAGTGAATTTTTTATAGACAATACACAGTTGGAACTTGCTTTTATACCCAATCTAACAGTATCTTTTATTTAATTTGTATGTTCAGACCATTAACATTTAATATAATCATTGATATGATTGGTTTAAAAATCTATCCTTTTGATATCTGTTATTAATTTGTTCCATTTGTTCTTTGTTTCCTTTTCCCCTGTTTTTCTGCCTTCTTTTAGCATGATAATTGGGCATTTTTAATTTTATCTCAACTCTTGACTTAGTTATAACTCTTGTTAAACTTTTTTGGGGTTGATGTAGAATTTATAAGATATAATTGGAGTCTATCTTTTATACCACTTAATGTTTAAGGACTTTAAGAACTTTGAAAGTAGACTTCCAATTCCTCCCTCCCAAACTTGTTATTGCTGTCATACATTTTACATATACCTTGTTATAAATACACAATACATTACTCTAAACAATTAATTATTTTTTAGAGCCATTAAAAGTCAGAAAAAATGAATTTCATTGATTTTTATTTATTCCAATTCCAATGGTATGTATTTTTTGGTATAGATCCAAGTTTCTATTTGGTAACATCTTCCTTCTGCCTGAAAAATTTTCTTTACCATTTCTTTTAGTGTAGATTGTCTAGCAATGAATTTCCTCAGTTTTTATTTGTCTGGGAAAATATTTTTTCTTCGTTTTTTTTTCCTACTTTACTTTAAAAAAAATATTTTCACTCTATAGATCCTGGGTAAAACTTAATTTTATTTTCAAGTAAATCATTCTGTCAGCACTATAATATATACTTCCATTATAATCTGGTTTGAGTGGTTTTTGGAAAGAAGATGACTCTGCTTCTCATCTTTGTTCCTGTATATGTAAAGTTTTTTGTTTTTTTTTTTCTTTTGGCTGCTTTAAGATCTTATCTTTGTCTTTTGTCTTTGGTACTTGGACTAATATGCCTAGGTGTGTTTTGTGATATTTATCTTTGTTGGTGTTCTCTGATTTTTTTATCTGTAGTTTAGTGTCAGTGATTAATTCTGGAAAATTCGAAGCCATTTATTTGTCCAAATATTTCTTTTGACCCATTTTCTTTATCTTATCCTTGTTAGACTATTGGAGTGATTGATAACATTCCATAACTGTTGAATGTTTTGTTCTATTTTTGTCTTCATACTTTTTTTTCAGTTTCAGTTTGGATAATTTCTAATGACTTTCTCCCACTTTACTGATTCTTTCCTTGTCTATTTCAAGTCTACTTAGAGCCTGTTGAGATCATTCTTCATCTCTGTTGCTATGTTTTTTATTTCTAGGATTTCCATTTAATTATTTTAGTTTTTGAATCTCTGTTGAAATTTCCGATCTGATCATGTATATCTTCTCCTGTTTCATTAGAGTCTTTAACATATTAATTGTAGATATTTTAATTTACCACTCACTTCCAACATCAGTGTCATATCTGAGCCCAGTTTTGTTGATTGCTTTGTCTCTTGACCGTGCATTGTTTTGTCTTGCCATTTTGGATGTCTTACAATTTTTTTTTGTTAAAAATAGGACATCTTATTTTGGATAGTAGAGTCTACAATAAATAGCTTTTATGTTTACAAATGAAATGGCTTTTCTTTTGGTAGGCCTTTTTTTCCTTCCTTACTAGTCCTTTAATGTGTTTAAATTAATCCAGCCAAAGGAGTTGGGATTTATTTCAGGTTTATTGCTATAGTTACTCTCAATGCCCCTCAAGCTGCAAATTTTACCTTGTGTTTTGAGTGAGATCTGGTTTGTTAACGTCTGCTTCATCCTCTGTTTTAGGTCTTCCCTGTGCACTAGTGTTTATCTTTGTAATCTTACAATTCTTCCAGCAGTATTCTATCGTTACTTTTAAAATTAATGCACATTAGCCTGGTGCTCTGGTTTACTCTAAGTCTTAGACATGCATTGTATCTGTTGGTCTCAGGTGTAACTTTCTTAATATTCCTCTCCATCCCTCAAGTGTAGTTCTAGATCCAGTACATATTCCTGATCTTTATTCAAGGATAGAGCATTTTATTTTCTGTTCCCCTTCCAGGCTGCAATGAGTTTTCACCATTGCCCTCAGGGTAAGAGTGTTGGTTGCCTTTTACTTTATAGATAATGGCTTTTTTCTCGTAAAGGAGATAAGAGAAAAGATCTAGGTTAGATATGTGCTCTACCCACACTGACCACTATTTCCCTCTCCCAGACCTGCTCCTTTAGGCATGCTTTCTCGAGACTCTCACCAATCTTTTTTTTTTTTTTTTTGAGAAGCTGTGAGATATGTTAAGAAAAGCTGGCAAGAAAGAGAGTATCAAATCCCCATTACAGTAATCCTTCCCTATACATGGTTTCACCTTCTTTGGTTTCAGTTACTCATAATCAACCATAGTCTGAAAATATATTGAGAAAGAGAAAAGGAGACCACATTCACATAACTTATATTACAGTATAGGAGCATAGCTCTTCCCAGATTTATATACCCTGAGAAGAAACTATAAGTTTCTTGACTCTTTTGAGATCATTTTTAAAACTAGGTTCAGACTGGAATAGATAGAGCTGCTGGAAAGATAGCATTTCAACTGTTGGAGAATTAGGTTCTACAGAGCTGGATGACTAGGATTACTGCTGCACATTTAAAAAATATGATAATGTTCTTCCACAGGCAAGTGTTCCTTTTTTGCCCTCCAAACATAAAAGGTTATAAGACACATTCCATTGTACCATTATGAAAAGAGAATAAAGGAAGACTAATAAACAATTTTACTTGCACAGGAAAGCACAGAAAATGTCCTTGAAGAAGTGAATCCCTTTCTTTATATAAAAAGATTTCAAATGTTCAAATGTCCCTGCTTTGCTTTTTGTTTGCACCTACTTTTCTTTATATTCTCATTGTGTGATACAATCACACCAAAATTATTATCGGGTATCATAAAATATGTTGATTTCACATGAGACAAGGAGAGATTTTTGCATTGTACATTTCAGTTATATTTACATTACATTGTCATAGTATTCACAAATCCCATTAAACATCTCTCTTTCATGGTCCCCTCTTATTTCTGCATCTTCTTTAAACAATCCTGTAATAGTCTGTTTTGTTCTGCTATAACAGAACACCTGAGGCTGGGAAATTTATGAAGAATAGGAATTTATTTTCTCACAATCCTGGAGTCTGGGAAGTCCAAAATCAAGGTGCCACCTAGTTCAGTGAGGGCTACTTTCTGCTTCCACGATGGCACCTTGATGCTGCATCCTCTGAAGGAGAGGAACACTGACTGTGTCCTCACTTGGTGGCAAGCGAGCAAGAGAGGTGAATGTTGTGCAAAGCCTCTCTTATAAGATCCTAAGTCTCATTCATGAAGGAGGGTCCCTCATGGCCTAATCACCTCTGAAAGGCTTCTTAATACTATCACATTGGGAACACCTGAATTTTGGAGAGGATAAATTGAAATCATAGAAAATGCTGCAGGGGTCCTCAAACTATGGCCCTCGGGCCGCATGTTGCCCACCTGGGACATTTATCCGGCCTGCCGGGTGTTTTTGCCGCCACTGCCTGTCCTGCTTAGCAGCCGACTCGTCCCGGGCCCACAGTGCACATGTGTGGAATGTGCGCCGCACTCTCCAATGGCCTTCCAATGGTCTGAGGGATGGTGAACCCCCTGTTTAAAAAGTTTGAGAACCCCTGGCTTAGAGTCTTCCCTACTGAGTGGGGAAATTCTGATCTTCTCCAGTATGTGAGAACTCCACTGAGCACAATGATCAACAATCAAAATGCCCCTTAGTTTTAAGACCCCTTCCCCACTTCTTAGAAGACATTTGTTGACCATATATTGCTTCTAGTTTGCCCTTTGGGTTTTCTCTAAACCTTAAGTGATTTTAAAAAGAATCTTTTTCAAATATGCACAGTGTTTTCCCTGAAAAGATTTCTGGGAAATAATTTCCTCCCATATTATTACAGTACATGCCAAGAAATAGGGATTTTAGGGGAAAGAAAACAGGCCTCTTTTATTATCCCATGGGATCTGACTTGCACAAAAGAAGGGGAAGAAATAGCCGTCTCATGTAGTACGTATATATTGACAGTTGAATCAATATCAAAATCACCTATGGGGAGTGTAACAATTGGATGTGTGTGTGATATGATGGGTGTCACAGATTCATCCATGAAATGTTGCATCTGATAGATGAGACAGTCTGGTTTAAAATTTGCCTTCATTGTCATCATCATAGGGGATGATTTGTTTTCAAAAACTTGCATAATGTTGCACAGACCCCTCCCCCAATCCCACCTTCTCTCAATAGTTTGGAGTATTAGGGGTCCTTGGTACTCTTTTGCATAAAGTCTTTTGTGCTCTTTAGAAGAAAAATCTTACAAATAAGCTAGGTAAAAATAGCTTAGTAAAAAGTAACAATTGACATTCAAGATTTAACAGCCTTTAACATCTTGCAAAACATATAACACTGCATCATTGGCCCAATGACATACACCAAAGCATTTGAAATTTTTAAAGAAGGTCTTGGGATAAAAGGAAGTCATTCTGCATCACCACTTGGGATTGTGGTATTTAAAGGTCATCAGAAAAACATCTTCCTGACACATAACATCAATGGCAATCTCTTGGTATATGAGCTGATGATAATACATTGCTAAAAAGCATCGTGTGACAAATGGGAATAGGAATGTTTGTCGTCAAATATTTTCTGCTGCTTGTACAAATAGAAAAGATAAGGCTCATAATATTTATTCTTCTGTCTTCTAGTATATGTGAATATTCCTATCAGAGAATCATCTTTATAGAGGTATCTTCTGTAGAGATATAACAACCTTGAGTGGTGTTTTTAACTGTTGGTAAGGTAAATTTTAATATTTGCTGCCAACACCAGTGATAATGAAAAAAGATATTTCAGGCCTGAAAGTGGAAGTTACAAAGAAGAAATCTGAAAAGTTAAAAAAATAAAGTATTTATAGCTACATGGGATCACATGTAATTATGTCTTTCTATAAGCTTCTGGATAATATGGCATTACTTTTATAAAAATCATCTGTAATCATTTTTATTTTTGTGAAATGATAATTATAGAAAAATTTTAGATGACCTTTAAATATGGATTGAGGAATTCCGGAAATATCTCAAAGGAAAGGAGCAATTGATATAGAAATTAGGATTAGTTAAAAGACAAACAGTTTCAATGTATCTTCCCTGAGTAAAATTGTAGATTTTATAAGTTCTACTTTACAAAGAATAGTTTATTTCTTCACATAAAATTAAGTTGGGAATGAGAAGGTTGTCAGATTTCACATTTCACAAGGGTCATCTGAACAAATTAAAGTACTATTTTATCTCTATGAGGCAAAATTTTTCCCCAAATTTCCCACTTAACTGCTCTGTATTGAAAAAAAAAATCGTAATATGAAGCATTTAGATTGGGTTTTAATTGTTAAAGACAGTTCCAATTTTGAAAACTATGCAGTTCAATCATAATCCAAAATATTGTTTTATAGCTCATGATTTTTTTTCAGGCATCCAAATATTTGACACTCTCAATATATTATTTTCTTCTATTGTTAACTATTCTGTAAATATAGGTTGTGAACTGACTGAAATAGTTCGGGTCCTGGGAGAAGATATATACAACACTCAAAAAGTTTAATTGAGGAAAGTTAAATGAAGGCCATATTTTGATGGCTATGATCTGGATTAAGGGGACAGACGTGGAATGATCAATAACCCCACATGAAGCCATTGCCACCCCTCCGCTGGAAGGCACAATGATAAGAATGAAGTATCCCAGGAACGTGGAGATGGCTCAAAGCTCTGGAAGAAGAACACCTGCCTCCATCAGGGACTGATACCTTGGTGATCAGCCACTACCACAACCACAGTCAAGAATGGCTGGGGAAGGGAGATAAATATTACAACTTTTGTGTCCCCTTAAGTTTCCTTGGTCAAACCCACCCCACAGCCACAGGACCAGGGAGCTTGAATGATGCAGTTCATAGATATCAACCTCCACAGGGCATGGGGTAGGCAGAGAATGGGCAGAAATGGATGTGAGCAAGGATGGCAAATGGATATTTAAATATATTACCCACTTATGAGTGAGATAACATATGGGTGTGTTTGTGTGTGAATGCTTACGTGTGTGTGTGTGTGTGTGTGTGTGTGTGTGTTTTCATTCTCTTTGATGTCAGCCTGATCTCTCTGGGCTTTGAGCTCCCTGTCTCCAAAGTGATCTTTTCTGGCACACTCAGCCACCACCCTCAGAGTCACTTTTTATCTTCAGTAATGCCCAACTTGTTATTCCAATTTCGAGCATTGTAGTGTCTAACCACCCTCTCCTGTATTTCCAATTCATTTACTCCAGTATGCCCTCTGAAAGAGTTCTCTGATCTCATTAGGACTTCATTTTATACCCCCATGTCCACTTTCCTCTTCATCTTGCTTAGATTCTATGATTCTCATTATACTCCTCCTTTATGAAAACACCCCCAACTCCCTTGTTGCCTTCTCCCTTTATGGTACTTAATTGATAAAACCCCAGTTCTTGTTGAACCCAGACTTCCCACTTCCTCACATCTATACTGACTCCTCTGAACACTGCTAGAAAGATGATCACACAACCCAGATGGTTTCAATTTATTAGCATAAATTTCAAATAGGTACTTAAATAATTTTTTTAAAAAACCAGAAAAACAAAAGTAGCAATAGTGTATAAAAAGAGCCACTTACTTGTCCCGTGTATTAAGAAATGCAAAGGCAAGCAGCTGTTGGTTGACTTCAGGACTGAATAATGTCAAGATGCTTAGTTGATGTCTCTTGGTCTTTCCAGTATAATTTCAAGATGGCAGCAGTGGTTGAAAGCATCACAATTCCGTTTGACACAAATTCATAGGCAGGACACAGGAGGTTGTGTTGCAAAAAGCACTTTTCCTCATGTAACCCCTCTTATTAGAGAGAAAAATTCTTTCTCAGAAGATAGTCCTTATATTACACTGTCCAGACCTAGGTTTGTACTTATCTCTAGACCAGGGGGTATGTCCAACTTACTTGAAACCTCTGCCCAATTCCTGAACATAGAGAAGGGTTCTGTTAGCAAGGATGAAGGAGATGGGAATCATGTATGTGGACACATGTGTAATCAGGAGAGACAACTTCTGGCATAAAAATTAATATATTATACTCCTTTCCTTGTGGGACATACTCACATATGTACCCTTATGTTCATACCCACAGTGGCTGAGTTTTGGTATGATATATTATCTGAAGCAGGAAGTAAAAAATTAGGAATTCTGAGAAATTATGATACTTAGTATTTATTAGTACCTACTTTTTCTCCTAAGTGCCATAAGGGCTATAAAGAAATTCTTTCATAGGCTTTGACTCTAGAGAATAATCTTTAAATATGATCTTATAGTTAGTGAATTATAAATATTGCCAGAGCTTTTTATCTTCCTTCAGAATGTGTGAAATTTGTTTATTGATAAATAATATTTTTAATGAAGTTTGGCTAGTTCATTTAAAGTAGAATTAATATAAATATATATGTATATATAAGTTCCAAATTGAATGTCCATATGTGCATTTATTAATTTATGTAGTTCATAGATATCAGCCTCCACAGGGCACAGAGTAGGCAGAGAATGGGAGGAAATGGATGTGAGCAAGGACAGCAAATGGATATTTAAATATATTACCCACTTATGAGTGAGATAACACATGGGTGTGTTTGTGTGTGAATGCTTATGTTGTAGGGTAGCTAGCATCTGACAATTTGCTGTGATGTCCATATTATTTTATCTATCTAGTGTAATGTTGTAAATTACTTCATGAAAATTGATAATATCTGAAGAAGATAGTGGGAACTCCTTAAATTTCAGTGTTGAGAGTTACGTATCCATTCCTAGTGGCATGTGGATTGTCAGTGACACCAGTCTTCCCTAAACATTTCTAATACCACCACCTGTTAGCAAATTAAAGATAAGTCTAAAGCAAATGCTAATTTCCTAAAAGGTACCTCAAGTAAGGGGACTGGGTCCGGTACAAGTGCAGTATCAAAGTGCCTTACTTGTTTTGAATTCCCCCAATAAGTGAATATCAAATAAATGTTACTTCCTCTCTTGGCAAAGATTTGTAACTCATAATTACATTGATACATGTGTTATGTCAGAGGCAGCAGTGGAATTCATAGTATTTTTATGTGAAATGCACTGTTTTATTGCATTAATTCACATTTAATGTGTACACAGTAATAACCATAAAGTATGATAACCAACGTTATATATTTTCTTCAGAACATTCATTTAGAGAGCTTTCAAAAGAGTCTGAGGAAATTAAAATATCAGTCAGTTTACCTGCAGGATATAGAGCGAAAGCAGAAAGCAGTATAATATCTTTTACAAGCCACCATTCCTCCCCACATAATGTCCTTACTTCTGGCTGATAAAATACAATACTCATAACCCTGTACATATTTCTTTAACTATGGTACACAAAACAAAGGTTTCTGAAGTGAAGGAAAATATACCTCCATCAGTAAAATTGCATTACTCACATGATTACAACAGGAGGGCTGAAGGCAAGAGAGAGCAGTGAAGGTAGAAGTCCCAAAGCCCCTTTCCTGGTAATGGACCACAGAAAGATGATGCCATAAAGGCACGAAGTCTCATGTAAGAGGTAGTGGAGGCCCAGGGAACAGAGAGAAATAACAAATTTGCAGGTACCTAGAAAGCAGGACAAGAATGAAAAATCTTGGTCATATTGAGGGCCAAAGAATAAAACAACAGAGCAGGATATAATGTTCTAAAGTCTGTGAAAGAGGGAAACCAAGCAATGGCCAATTTAAACTTGATAAACACAAATAGTTCTAGAAATGTAGGGTACTGCCCATGTCTTTTTAAAAATTTTTCTAAGATTTGGATATTCTTGCTGCCCAATATACTGCTCTAGTATTCATACAAAAGGTAATTGTTCCAAATTAAGACAAACTGCAAAACGTAAATTCATATCCTGTGTTCTTCAAGAGGGCTTCCATGACAAATACAACATCTACTGATTCTTCCCTTAGTTGAATTACTTTACCTTTATATCATTTATACAGTTTCTTCATTAATTAATTGTTTCAGTCGTTCAATATTTACGGAGCTCTTTCTTCATAGATATATGGCTTCAGTTTATCAATGAATCATGTTCTAATTAAGACATATACAACAGTAATGTGTCCAAAATTGGAGATTTTTGTCATTGCTTAAAATCATTTTTTAAAATACAGTTCCTACACACATAATTTTTAAAAAATGTGACCAAAAGAAAAAGTGTGACACAAAGAGCAAAGCCTCTTTCTTCACCACCACCTTAGTCTCCCTCACCAAAATAATCACTTATTATTTTCTTGAGTATTCATATGTAAAAACAGAATATAAATATTGGTATATGCCTTTCTAAAATATATTTTAAATATAAAGAAATAGGATCTATACACATACACACACATATATACACATACACAAACATGCATATACTGTTATGTACATTGCATTTTTCTCTTTTAATTTGGAAGTTGACAAACGTTAAAACATCATGGCAGACCTTGTCAGTTGGTCTTCATCATCAAACCCATCTCCTCACCTTCCTAGGTTTGCAGTAGGCTACACCCCCAGTACCCTCTAGCAATTATGGGTGGCCAAGTGAATTCTAGCCAGCAGGATGGGAGCGGCAGTGATGTGTGCCACTTCTGGATCAGGTTGGTAAAAAGATCCGTGTATGATCCTCTCCACATTTCCAATCTGGCAGCAGGATTTTCATGACCAGGGCCACCACATAAGCCAGATGTTGAAGGTGGCAGAGCCTCTATTAGCCTGGATGTCTGTAGAACGGAGGGGAGCACATCTCCCTGAACTCTCCACCCTGCCACTAACTGGAACACTTGCATTGGACTATAACATGAGCAATAAATCAAATTTCATTGTGCTAAGACACTGAGATTCTGGGATTGGTGTTAGTGTTACCACTAACCTATACACACATGTAGAGGAAACTAATTGTTTTTAATGTCTAAGATTGCTTAATTCATTATTTGCAAGAATCATTAAGTTATCCCTTATTGATAGGCATTTAAATTCCTAGCCATTTTTGTTATTAATAGTACCATAAATAATCCTGTACATACATCTTCATTTCTGAATATCTCCGGAGAAGATAAATTCCCAGCAGTAGAATTGTGGATCAAAGATACAGACTTTCAAAACACTTTAATGCTTTGGCAGCTATGCTAACCTCTCCTTTAAATTATTTGTACTGATTTTGTATCCTCCAATAGCATTTGAGCATGTCTCTTTTTTCACATCTTCATGGACACTTAGGTATTACAAAATTGTTCATTTTTCCAATCTAGTCAGTGAGAAATAGATTTCATTGTTTGGATTTGTATTTTTTAAATTTTCAGTGAGATTGTGTGTCTTTTCATGTGGTTTTGGTCATGTATATATATTTTTTTCTGCAACCTGAATGCTTGTACCCTTTGTGGATTTCTCTAAAGGGCTATTTGTCTTTCTCATGTTGGTTTATAACACAACTATCAGATGGTTAAGAGAGATATCACATATTTCTTGGTTTAACTGCCAGTACAGGAGCCAAACACATTTGAGCAGTTTTTGCATAGTTAAATAAGATCTACAGTTTTGCAGTTCCTACCACAACTGTATAAACTATTATCCTCTGCATTTTATGGAAAAGGAAACAGGAGCCAAAGACAGTTAAATGGCTGGTCAAGGTCAAATAACCACTAAGTGAGTATCTCCAGCATGAGATCACTAACTTTTATGGAGTATTTTCTCTGTATCCCCCTACTAGATTGCTAAACTAAAAGTGTCCAATATAATTATCATCATAATTGGCATC